CCCCTCTGAAGTACTGAACCCCTAGAAGCAGTACTTCATGACAGACACAATCGAAAGCTTTTTTCAGGTCACAAAAAACTACTGCGGCCACTTCTTCGTCATTTATCTTCTAATACAGCTCATCCAGGAGATGAAATATGGCATCATCAGTGTTTTTTGACTGCTGAAACAGAGACAGAGAAAGCAATTTATGTCTATCAAGGAAGCTCACCATCCACCTTAATTAGCCACTCTACAATTTTAGTCTAAGTTGCCAGTAAGGATATTGGCCGGTAATAAGATGGTAAATTCTTATCACCCCCTTATTAAACAAAGGTACTACCCACGATTGCTTCAAAAATGAGGGAAAACTTCCGGTAAGAAAAGAATTAATAATGGAATCCGCCAACACATCAACAGCCTAACTGAGATATCGTCCCATCCAGAGGATTTTCTATTTTTGATACTAAGTTTCTGAGCAATCGTACAGTAGTATGAATTAATATTATCTGCTTTCAAATTGGAAGCACATATGTATTTCTTTTTTTTTTTTTTTTTTTCGCGTTGGTCGTTACTCTTTTTGTTTATTGGATGCGGATGCCCAACCTCTCATTGTAATAAATCTTCCTTGCCTGTTTCATCGTCTTTCTGTAGATGCTCCTGTATCCATTATTTAAAGTAGGTAGCACAGCACTGGACGGTGGAGTTGCAACAAATAAATATTTTCACATTTTAAGGGTAGGTCCTGGGTGTCCAAGTGAAATGTAGGTAGAGCAATCTTGCCCAAACAATAGGGATTCCGTAATTGGGTAGAAACGGCCAAAAATTGAGACGCACACAATAGAAAATGACTATTTGATTATGATCATTAATGACATAACCTAATGACGTTATGGTTTGTGTTTGTGTCAAATGTTTGTGTGTCTCTTGTCGGCCATATTTGTGTCACGTGTTTTGGATAGTCTAATAGAGGTCCCGCCGCCATCTTGTTCCCAACCTCTTGTTACTTTTAAATATTAATATATAGGATTTAAATGAACATCTATCATAAAAAATTGAGATTGAACGTATTTGATGACCATTATTAGGTCCATCAAATACGTGTTTTCCATGATTTATGATGGATGTTCACCTAAATCCCATATATTCATATTTAAAAGTAACAAGAGGTTGGGAACAAGATGGCGGCGTTTTCAATATAAATATATGGGATTTTAGAACCAATCAAAAATGAGACAGCAATTGTCGGCACTGTGGGTAATAGAGTCACTGTAGTTCTGCAACAATACAATCTGGCTACACTGCAGCCACGAGTTGCGCGCGCATTTCATTTTTTATTACTTTCTAACTTGTATTTATTAGAATTAAGCTCTCTTTTTCTATTTCTGCGAGACACGTCAATTATGGTTTCCTTCAACTTCTTGGAACCCTACATTTGTCAAAATTTGGATGCACAAAATCAGAAAGGATAGCTGCAAAAGAAAGGGAAATCCACGGCCCATCAAGTGTACAAAATAATCCATGTCCAAGTTTAGTTGGCAGAAGCTGCCTGCTTCCAAAATAATCCACCACCGTCTCCAAAGCGAAGTTCTGCGAATGAAGCAGTGACCATAGAAGCAGTGACTTTTCCCACATTTTCTTTCCAATTTCAAACCCTGCGTTTTTATTCATATCAAATTTTACCGATGGATCTATTATTCTATGTCGGTCATTGTCATTTTCTATTCACTTAACAAAGATAGCTAATTCATTGATGAAGTCACCGATTCGAATAAAAACGAGGGGATTGCTAAACCACCCAATTAGGCTCTCCAAACCACGTGATTTTTCAATATGGCGACCGTGGAAAATTTGACGTTTGTTTGTTTATCTTGAGTTTATTTGGAATATTTTCAAGCTAATTACAGTTTACTTTGTTGTAATATACTTTTTGAGATGCAGAGTGAATATTTAAAGACTTGAATGCAGGAAAATCGGGATCTGGGCGAACGGTTAGTTTAAAAAAATGTCCAGATGACATTTTGATTCACAGTTCACATTAATGAGCAAATGAAGGCCTAAAAAAGCTTAGATTCTTACGAATATTCCGAAAATGGCTTTATTTCAGATGCAGGAACAGTGGTAGTGAAAAATTTTCACGTTTTAATTGGAAAATTTTGAAACGATGGGCAATGAAATAAAGCCTGACATCATCCTTGTTACCTTGTTGAAACTACTTCCACAATCAACTTCAAGACCCGTTTGTGGCATTTTTAATTGGAAGAAACACTAATGAAGTCAATAAAATAAAAAAATAAACAGAGTTCGTTCACAAAACAACCACAAAATGCAATTTAAAAAGCTTTAAATTACATACTCTCATATACGGGATAATGAACTTCTGCCACAACGCACATTTTGACAGGTCGATGGAATGCCTAAAGGCTCATCCTCAATCAATTTAGTAGCGAAGTGGCACTTCGGCACGCAAGCTAGGAAAATGTTGTTTAACGCTGGCATCCTCAATTCAATTCCGTGCTGGCATGCACGTCGACTCCAAAGTGAAGGTTGCAAGCTGCCAGCTTTTTCGATGCGTGCCGACTTATGTCATGCGCAGTACGTTAAAAAATTAATTTAAGTTATCCTTGCGTTCGGTATTTTGCTCAAAGAGCAGAGTGGAGCCGTAATCACGTGACCAGCGAGCGCACAGAGCAGTTAAACGCTGTATCAGAGGCTTTGAATATAAAACTACAGGAATATATGCAACCTCCACATTTTCTGGTCGCGCAGATTCCAGGTTATGCTCCTTCCTGTAGTTTTATATTTAAAGATCAGAGGGCTAGAAACTTTATTAAACGAACGTGAATGAGCCTGCACCGAGTACACTTTTTGAATAAACGAACGGTAAATTTATGCTCAGAGAACTCAGATCAAAATACCGAATGCACGGTATGTGACCGTACTACACGCACAGCAGCCTGAAAATTGACAGCATTGAGGATGGGTATAAATTTTCCAGCACGCGTGCCAAAGTGCCACTTCGCTACCAGATTTATTGAGGATGTAGCTTAAAGCACGTGTGCTGGGAAATTCATACCCTTCCTCAATGCTGTCAATTTTCTGTCTGCTATGCGTGTAGTACGGTCACGAACTGTGCGTTCGGTATTTTGATCTGAGTACTCCGAGCATAAATTTACCGTTCGTTTATTTAAAAAGTGTACCAGGTGCAGGCTCATTCACGTTCGTTTGTTGAAATTTCGAGCCCTCTGATACACGTTTAACTGCTCTATGCGTTTGCTGGTCACGTGATTACAGCTCCGCTCTGCTCTTCGAGCAAAATATCGAACGCAAGGATAACCTGAATTATTTTTTACCATACTGCGCATGACATATGTCGGCACGCATCGAAAAAGCTTGCAGCTTGCACTTCGAAGTCAGCGTGCATGCTAGCACGGAATTGAATTGAGGATGCCAACGTTAAACCACATTATCCTAGCATGCGTGCCGAAGTGCCACTTCGCTACCAGATTGATTGAGGATGGGCCTTAATCCACATTGACATTGACAAGCAAGCAAATGTTGGAGGGGAAATGAATGTTTTCATACTTATCGTCCATCTCTTTTAATTGAAAACGTCGATAGGGCATGTCGATGTGACGTCACAAATGAGTTTGACAGTCGCCCTGAGGTAAAACAAATCATTTATTTACATTGGTGTAAATTAGGCCGCAGGCCGGTTATGTTTTATGCGGTTTTCACAGCTTTTTTACAAGTTTTTGTGTTATTTTGTTTTTAAAAAAGTTAAAGTAAAGTGTTTATGTTTCAGTCTATGTGGTCTTTTATCCAGAAGTTTGCTAGGTTTTTCTAAAAGATCAAATTCAGGTTTTTTCCAACAAATATAAAAACCAAGCGTCACAAGAACAAATATATAAGTATAGTTACTCTATATTCAATCTATTTTTCTGTAGATCTTCTCTTTTAACAACATCAATCAATTTTTCTCTTCTTTCTTGAGCTAACAAATCGAACGTACCATTGTTATTTGAAATTGATGGAAACCTATGAAAGGATATTGTATCCCTTGTGCTATACTACCACAATTAACAACTAAACAAACTCTACGCATGTCCAAGAAACTTCTAAATCACACAAAAGGTATTTATTTAAAAAAATCTAACTAAAAACTTAAAAAACCATTGTAAATTATATCTTTGTTTTACCTCAAGGCGACTGTCAATAGTGTCAAACTGTCAGATCGTGTACTTGCCCTATTCTCAACACTGTGTTTTACGTAGTGACCTGTCATTCAGAGGGTGACGTTCTATCATTGAAAAGTTGAATCGTTCAGCAGAACCAAAAGTTTACCGAACATATTCTGTTGGTATTTGTAAACTGTTTACAATCCGTTTTGGTTCTGGTGAACGTAGCCTATATTCCTTTTTACATTCCAATGTTTTTTAGTAAATAACCACCGATACCTGGTCACCACCCATATCCAACCAGAGGCACTTATATTTTATTTTTAGGAATTTGATTGATTCACCCTTCACTATGTTTACAGAACAATACAACATTATTTTTAACAAACAAGATCAGGAGTTGCAAGAGCTGGAAGTCGATGGAAAAAACAATATCAGGAAATTCTATGAGACAATAAAAATAAAAAAGAATGGCTCTAGCTCCAGAACAAACATTATCAAGGACGACAACAGAGTAACCAGGCAAGATAAAATTCTGCAAACATGGGAAGAGTACTTCGAACAACTACTTAACCAGGATTATGCAAACAACGAAGAACCGGCAAGTTTCCAAACTGCGAGAAGAATACCTCTTTCGAATAGAAATTGAGAACGCTATAATTTATTGAAGATAAGGAAAAATTGTAAGTACATGTAGTAAATTAGTTGTTTATCTCATTTACAAATAGACCCCCTCCACGCGATGGATTTGAGTTTTTGGGATTTTCCCAAGTTTTCAGTTACTATGGTTCCATAGCAATATTGTAAATATGAAATTCTTTGGTCATCCAAACAAAAACTTACCTTTGCGAATAACTCCCGCCGGATGCACAACCAACACCACCGCCGGCACTAGTAAGAAACGATTTCGGTAGCGACATCGATCTCTGCTGAGACACTAGCTCGGACGCGGACACTTCCTGCATCGGAGCGCTTCCGGGACGCGACAATATTGTCCTGCCGTCCTTATCGGAAAAGGTTTCCACCGGAGTGGACGCTCGGGAACCTTTCACCGACGACACCCTGGACGTGTTCAACCACACGTCGCTTCCCGAAGACGAACTGGCTCGCGGTGATGATTTCCTTTCGAGGACCTATCAGATAGAAAATTGAATTTATAGTTTTTGTTTATATATGGCAAAAATTAGGAGGAGCCAATCACCTTATAGCACAGATAGACAGATAATAGTTGCACGTAATATATTTGCCGGATGCCTATCGACTATCAGTGTTAGAAAATGTCAATTGAGAGGACATGATTATCATAAGGCTATACAATACCAAATTAAACGTTGAATTTATCAATTAACAAATAGCGCGATATTCAATTACATAGATAATGAACAGATATAATATATTGATTGGATAATTAATTAATCCTTTATAAGCTCGTTATTATCTGGACCAAACGCATTATTAGTAATAAACTTCTGCAATGTTACATTGATACAATTAAATAACTGAGGGATAAACCACTGAGGAAATTCAGTGGTTTATCCTTCATCAATGCACAACCAATACATTAAAATAATTTTAAACTCTATATCTAAATGGTTTGATGATTGAGGAAGACATAACCGGACAACCACAAGAACTGCATGGCAAAAATCGACTCTGCTTATGATACGATCAGAAGACATCCAAAAAATCTATATAAGGGTTCAATCTACACATAGACCAGAATTAAGAGGGGAAAGAACATTAGCACTATGATGATTAACTCTAATAATCCGTTTTAGGATTTTGCAAAGGATTACGCGAGTTTAAGTGATCGCGAAGCCTCTTCTAATCTGGGATAATCATTTCAGGACCACAAAATTCCCTCGAAATAATGCAGGGATAAAGCTAGCTCCCGTACATAATACAATTTTTAAAGCCCGAACGGATTATTTAGAGTCGGAGATGTGATATAAGCAACCAATGATAAGAGAGAAAAAAAAAACACCCATCACGTGGTTAAACAATTAAAGTGCAATAATAGAGGAGAGTCAAGAGATAATAAAAGTGAATTTCATGTGTCAAACAGTTTTAATAGTGCCACAGTTTTAGGCTAACAGCAATCTTTGTACTTTGTTATTCCTCACAACTGAAAGATGAGAATATTCGATTAATTTGTTATTTTTGTGGCACTATTATGAACTGTTTTATTTTGCATTTATTGAGTCGTGGCGGCATGTGACCTCCGGACTTTGATTTGAACCAATTTAAATAATTCATCATTTAGATACAGGCTAGATTGTAACTTCATTGTCCAGCAGTTAGTATAGAAGCCGCCACTGTCTAAATCTCAATAAAACTTGTGCTATTAATGTGAAATTATTAGCACAACTAAATTAATGAAGCTGATGGACGTGTGCTAGAGCCATAACAAAAGAAAAAAAAAAACAGCACTTCATTGGGTATCAATTATTTTTTCTGGGTCTAGCATCTCACCTGACCAGCAATATGTTTTTTATTTATGTAGTTAGTGTTCATGATAGAATTTTATGTAGTAGTAGTAGTAGATTGATGAACACTAAGCAGGGTGGTAGTGGAAGGACTAACATCTAAGGCACACTCGGATATCCGAAACACTGTCCGAGATTTTTTCTCATTTTCATTAAGTTCTGCGACAGTACCGAATTTTGACGGTTTAACTTGCCGACTTTTTGTTGTTGATACTTCAGCAGGTACCAGTCGTTAGGCAACTGCAAGCGGAAAATTAATTTCACCTAAAGCTATTATTGGTGAATGGATGATGATGGTTAAGATTGTCTCAACAAGCCCTTAATCGTTTACGACGAAGGACTCGACAGAGCAACAGTTATGAAAGTTGGTGCAAAGAAAAGACGCGGAAGAAAGTCGAGGGAGCGAAACGAACGGAATCGATAAGTCAAACTTTTACCGGCATTTCCGTCGATCCGTTGCGCCTTATGCTGCCACCGGTTGCTGGAGGCCTATTGGGGCTGATCCTTCGATATTCCGGTTGTTGGGGCGGTTTTCTGTCCGAACGTCTTTGTTTGAATTGTTCCGATGGTGACTTCTTTTCGATAACTGTCGAGGCAGACCTTTTGAATAAAGAAAAAAAAAATTTTGCAATAATGAAAATATTAGGTCATACAAAATAAAATAATATGTCAAAAACATTTTATTACAGATAGAGAAAAATGTGAACAATGGTACCTAGCTGTGTCGTCTAATAGAAACATCTTACGTAAATACACATTGGGAATCAAATTGAATAGAGATCACTGTCACCTCATTGGAGATTTTAGAGGCTCTGCTCACCGTGACTGTAATTTGAATTATACAAATTATTTTGCGATTCCTGTCGTATTTCATAATTTGGGGGACTACGATGCGCATTTTGCAATAGGGGACTTTATTAAATCATGAAAGGTGGTGGCGATGGCGTGAGAACAACAGAATAAATGACAGGTGGCAGTTGGCAAGTGTCAGATGAAGTAAACACACGCACTTATGTATGCACAGTATCTCCTTCTTATTCTCTTGCACCGCCTCCTCATTCTCTTCCTTCTTTATCCTGGAATAGACCATTGAGCTTGTCCCTAGTTGAAGTCTTCTCTTTCAACTAGCAGTGACTACCTTCAATTTTACCGAATTTATAAAACAGCTATAGACAGGAAAGTTCACATCATACTACTATACATTATGGACTTACATTATGTTAATTCTTCATTCTTTAAATTAAAAGGAAAAAATTCTTACCTGCTAGAATCACTAGTAGTAACAGAATCCAAAGATCTCTGATGCGAAGGATAACTCTGCGAAGATCGCATCACGAAATACGGTTCACGATTGACGTTTTCTCTGTGCACGCAGTGAGGCCAGTAATCGCAAGTTTCCGGATTGCAAGGGCCCTTTTCGACGTTGTCTTTCGCATTGTCGAAGCTGTTTTTGCTCGAAGACGGCAAGCTGGGACTAGTAGCGCCGCGCAACAGCACCCTTTGTCGCTCGGCTCTGTTATTGCCAACGTAGTAAACGGTGAGTTCGTTATTCAAGGCTGGTTTGTTGGATTCTTTGTTTTTTTCTTCTACTGATATGTTGTTGTTGTTATATCTGGAATAGAAGAAACATTAATATAGTCGTTCGTGTCTGATGCGACAAATTTGGACGTGACTGAAGAGAAAAATGCTTTCTAGGGCCAAATTATGGACTGACTGGTAAACGTCTGGTTGTTACCTAGCAGGTACTTTCTATGCTCTAGATAATAGAAAGTTCCTGCTAGGTAACAACCAGACACTTACCAGTTGGTAAATATACTTAAAAGTGCACCTCTTTTCTATTGATGTCGCTCATGTCAGGTGCCAATATTTTTATTCTGACAACGCAAAGATTTGTGATTCTCGTACGATTGGGCTGTGATATCCTGAAGGGGGTGCAAAAAGCTTAATTTTTACAAAAAGTATATTGTGATCCTTTCTTTCCTGAATTTTAGTTTCATAGTTTAAAGCTGCACATCTACCATCTACACAGTATATAATAGCGTCGGAGTGCTGAGTCTTTTCATCTTTGACTGACCTTGGAGTTTGTTGTATCTTCTTCGTTGCTTTGAAAATGTATTGAACTTTTGTCTTGATACCAAAACAGAGTGAACATGTCTTTGAAGATGCATATTTTTGGAATGGGAAGGATATGAAACAACTCAGAACCCTTTGACTCCAATAACAACAGAAAGTCACATAAGCTTGTAAATATATTATCTCTAAAAATAAAAAAATTGTTTTGGTAAAGGGGAACATTGCCATTGCTCCAGAAGTTCTTAACATAATCAGCACGGTTAAAACTCTAAAACTCGGAGATGAAGCAGCTCTGGATCCCTATTCTCGAAACAAGGAATCTCATGAAAATTCTCATGAGACCGAAGATTCTGACTTCGTCGCTCATATTCATATTTCCATAACACTGCAAAAGACCAACCCTTCGTTCTCATGAGAACGTTGTTCCCCGGTTTCAAGTTGTAAAGTGCCAAAATTGCCTTTAACTATTTCACACTTATTTTCAGTTTTCCATTCAAAATTCCTATAGATATTTAATTTTTCCCTGATTTTATTAGACTTTGTTTCTATTTTTCCATCCATTTTTCAATAATAAATCTTCATATTAACAAATCAAATATTTCTTATTCTTGGGTTAGGTTTTCGAAATAGTGGTCCGTTCACGAAGTGCACGCTGCAGTCTGCACGTACTCTGTTCGGTTGCTGAACTCAGTTCCCGATTATTGTGTGCAATTTTTGGAACTAAGAAATTTTACGCGATTTATTTTTGACATTTGTCGTTACTTTGACTCATCTCTATTCTTCAAGTCTAGGACAGCTAATTAATTCCCTGTGGTGCTTCTTTCTTCTACGTTTGGTGGTTCCGAGAAAAACGGTCTTTCTGAAGAAGTTAAATTTTGTCTTCGCCTTTGAGGGATTTTTGACCTTAATATTCTCAAATATTGAAATTATGGTACATTGAGTTGCCTTACGTTGCCTTACGTTCTCGTAAAGTGCCATAATTTCGCCGATGATTTCGGATTTTCCCAACCATCCATTCGGTAAGTTTTACTTTGCACGTTTTTCTTCACAGTGGATTCTGACCTTCTCTATTCAATCGTTAGTGAAAAGCTGCTGTAAGGAGTAGAGTAAAGACCACTTCACTCACTCCAGGATTTCAAATACAGACCTCGATCCAGACCAATCCAGAGTATTTTCGAGGCAAATAAAACATATTCCAACAGGTGAGACATAACGACAGATTTCCTTTGCAAACTTGTTAATTTTTTCTCTAATCTAATTCTGCTTTTCATACACAAACTAGCTGTTGCCCGCGGCTTCGCACGCCCTATACAAATTTTGTAGGTGTAGGGTGTAGGTAGCATTAGGTAATCTTCTTTCAAAGAGCTAAGGCGATAGTTGCGTCAGACATATGGTCATGTGACTCTTATTTTTGCAGCACCTCTCTGTAAACCACATTTTTTGTTCTGCTTTGTGGCTGCAAAATATGAAGACTATTTTTTGACAGCTGACGTTAAATTTTTTTGAAGTGCCACTCACTGCTCATAGCTTTGTTCGCGGATCATATTTTGAACCGATTCCGAACCAGTCCGGAACTAATTGAGGACTATCGTAGAGAGCATGCCCAGTTATAGCTGGGTTCGGCTTGCTCACTCCGTGCACTTCGAGTGATTCCGTTCGCACTTCAGCCGTTCGGGTATTACCTTTTAAAGTCTGTTTTTTTTTTTAAGATAATTCCCCAAGTCAAAAATTTAGTAACTATGTTGGCAACACAAGCCTTCTCTACATAAAAAATTTGAAAGCATTGACAATTTTACATTGTATTGCCAACATAATGTCAATTTGACTTTTATCTTTAAAAAAAAAAACAGATTTTAGCTTATCAGATAACGGCTGGAGTAACTCGGAGTGAGCAACCCGAACCCAACTTGTGAATGGGTTCAGGTTCCTATTTTATCGCGAACAGTTTTGGAACCGAACAAAAACTCCAGAACCTTGCTCCAGACTGTCGAATACGTGAACGAATTGCGAATGTGACCGGTGGAATTTGTTCAGAATCGGTTCCGAATCGTTTCTGGTGAAAGCATGAAAATATAACGACAAAAACACATTTTTTTTTTGCACTGATTCTGCAAATGGAAATCGCTATGAATTTGATTCTGCTTGTCATATTTCTGAATTTGACAGCTGACACGTCGTCTGTTTCTGTTTACACTTTTTTCCCCGCACTCCCGCACCACACCGTTTCTTATTTTTGGTTATTTAAGGCGATTGCTTAAGGCCATGTTGATATTATTTCTTACAAATACCTCTAAGACTAGATTGATTCTACATTTTAAGAAACCCTCACAGCTCTATAGCCAATATGCCAAATATCCACACTACCAACATTCCTTTTAGACCAATCATACTCCTTCAGCATCTTGCGGTTTTGTCAATCTCAATGGACATTTTTTGATAGTAACTAGCAGTGGATTACACACTAAAAGACCCTCCCACACTTCATCTTGATTTATAAATATAAACGTAACACCTACTTTTGAATGAAAGATAAGTTTCAGGCGCAAGATCAGTGTTTTCCATTCAAATGAGTGTCGTCCACTCAGTTCAGTGATCGCCAATCTACATAAAATGGTTTGCAAGTCAAAAGTAAAGCCTCGTAATTGTGGTTGAGCCATATAGGTGATATCTTCATTATCTGGACAAGGAGCGAAGAGGAGCCTAACTAACTTTACCATAGAATATGAACACTTTTCCTCGATGGCTCAATTGAACATTCTTATGAATACATCATAGCTTATGGTTTCAGTATACAAAAAACAGATTAGAGGAAAAGCGACACGACCAAACTATTGATGAACAGAAAACAACTGTCGAGGCAGACCTTTTTAACAAAGAAAAAACAGTTTTGCAATTATAAAAATATTGAAAATTACGTTTACGTTTCATACTAAATAGTACCTACGTCAAGAACATTTAAATACAGATAGAGGGAAATGTGAACAATAGTATTGTCCGTCGATTTTTATCTAACACTTTCCGTATGAGGAGCGAGGGGGTGAAGTGTATGGCAAAAACAGGTGTAACGTCAGGTGACCATTGGCGTTTTAACGTAGGGAACTAGCAGCTCACATTTTTTTTTTGTATCAGATTAAAATCGACGGATTTTACCTAGCTGTGTCGTCTACTAGCAAAATAAACGTTAAGAATCAAATTGAATACAGATTACTGTCATCCATTCTGTACCTCATTGGAAATTTTAGAGGTTCTGCTCACCGTGACTGTAATTTGAATTACAAAAATTATTTTGCAATTTTTGTCGTATTTCATAATTTGGTAGCCTACGATACGCATTTCGCAATAAGGGACATAAGGGCAAAACATTTTCACACTATCATTAACTAACACTCTGGTGCCACAAGATGGCGCCAGAACAAATGACAGGTGACGGCAGGTTATACATGGAGTAAACACACGCACTTGTGTATGCGCAATACCTCCTCTTTATTCTCTTGTTCCGCCTTCTCATTCTCTTCCTCCTCTATCCCGGAATGGATCATTCAATGTGTCCCTGTTTGGGTAAGAGACAAGTTTCAGGCGCAAGATGTCTTCCATTTAGATGAGTGTTTTCCACGCCGTGATCGCTAATACTACATAAAACGTTTTCCAAGTCAAAAGTGAAGTCTCGAAATTGTGATTGAGCCATATGGGTGATATCTTCATTATCTGGACAAAGAGCGAAGATGAGCCTAACTAACTAATTCACCATGGAATATGAACACTTTTCCTCGATGGTCTAATTGAACATTCATATGAACACATCATGGCTTATGGCTTCAGTATACAAAAAACCCATGCACCACAATTGCAATTATTCATCGTCAAACCAATTTTTTTCAATTTCCTACCTACCTGACATCTCCGAAAACATTATGGCTTGCTTCACCTAAATTAATCAAATTGAACATTTCATCTAATGGTTTTTGATATAGAAATTTCAGGAATTTGTTTATCAAACCAAAACATCTAGACCAGAGACAATCTATTTCGTAAGCAAATTTCATCTTACCTATGCATAAGTAATGCTTGTGCTGCAGCCCTCGATCGATTCCCATAAAGAAACCCTGTAACCACTTCAGCCTCCCTCAACATTTCATCCTCCAACATTTCCGCCCTCTCAACCGACGGCGTTTGCACACTACTAAACTGAGGTCTGTCTATCGAAGCTGAATATTGACCTCTTTCAGGCGGAGGTCCTACTTTGACTACCACTCTGTGATCGGGATGTTGCGGGGAAAGCTTTTGCTGGCCGAAAGTTGGAGGTGGCTGACGTTCTGGTAGCTGAAGACTTCTGGAACGTCTCACTCTTGATAAACTGTCTTCTGGATTGGGTTTTGAGGGCGGTTGGAACTGTCTACCGGCGGCAGTTCTTCGGATAACTGTGGGATGTTGAGGAGTGGGCGGTGAACGTGATAAAAATTCGTTACTGCTTGAAGATGACGAGCCTGATGATGGTTTAGCGTCTGATCCTGCTGGTGAACGTCTAAGTTGGTTTCTGGTTGAAATGAGAAAATTACTCACTATGTATATTCATGAAAATTTGATCCTACACTATTACATTGCCCGGTAATTTAAAATTTATATCCAATATTTTATGAACTAAAATATGGAGTTTCATATTCAGTGAATCATTAGATTGAAAAGCGTCGATAAACATTTTGAATAATAGAACATTGCACAATCGATTGATTTATTTTGAGCCAATTTCATTAATCAGAAGTCGATCTCTAGCCCAAAAGCAAAGTTAAGAACTTTCTTTCAATTTGATGCTTGAAAAACACTAAAAATTCTTTAAAATAATCATTGAACAATATTTCTAGTAATCTCAGTAATTTGAAACCCACAGGATATATAAAATACCGACTTTATTCCTGTTTCAAACTAAATCAATCCAATTACCTATAATGTGCAGACCTATTCCTTCCCGAAGGTGACAATTTCCTATTAAACTCAGCTTGCAACAGGTTTGGATTAATCAAACTGACATTAGCAGCCGACGAACTATTATTATCCTCCTCGTCGGCATCGCCACAAGCATCGGCAGCGTTTTCAACAAGTTTCGGCATTACGTTGCTGGCCCTATTCAAACAACTATCTAAGCTTCGAAAACCCATCGAACTCGATGAGCTTGAAGACGAACCATATTGGTGCTTGAACTGCATGCGTCTAGAAGCAGTGGTGTCTTCTAAAGATTTGGTTTGTGGTACTTTCTTCATTGCTCTTGGAGGTTTTTCGATTCCTGGTGAAGTTTTGATAACAGGTTTTGGTTTGACTAGTAACGGTGCGTTTGGTGCTGTGGTAACCCATTTGCCTCCACCTATCGGAGACGATGGCGGCGTATTATCACTGTCTTCTATTGCTTTGGAGCGCGGCAAAAACGGAGTTTTACCGAAAAACATTTTGGATTTCGCCGGGCTTCTGGTTTTGTCTTGAAACGCCGGAGGCGGCGAAATAATTGGCGTGACAGATTTTGGCGAACCCGGATCGGGCGGTGTAGGCGAAGGACTTCTGAAATTTCGATTTTGTTTGAGTTGAAGCGCGGCAGGTCTTTGAGGATGAGGCACTTCTTTTTTAGGAGGTTCTGCGCGAATCGGTTGCGAATAATCGACACTATTCGTCCGCGAACCGAACTTGTTCGGTTCACTGTAAAAATGATAATTGGCTAGCTTGACGCCGGTACGACGCGATTGTATCGATTTGGCCAGGTTCACGGAATAGCTGGCGCGACGATTGTCTTCTAGTGATCGTTGTTGGACTTGTACCCAGCCTGATTTGCCCAAGTAGACTCCGTCAACTTCTCGATCACACCATCTGGAACAAAAAAAATTGGTTTGAAAAAGGCTCACTATAATCTTTGCCATATTCGAATTGATCAAAGGGATCCTGGGAACCCTCAGGTGGACTCTGAATATAGTACTAATACACCTAGAAGGAAGGAAGCTGATATCATTGTCTAGAGGAGGAAATTTCGTGGTTATTGCGCTATAAATTAAAAAAAATAATAAAAATTGTCCTCATTTTTCTACCCCCTTTGTAATCAAATCGCGAACAGCGTGCAAACAAATTACAAAGCCCAAAAGTAGCGCCGTGATTATTTGTAATCGGATACGGTTCCCGTATCCCGGTGTTGCCATCAGCTGGTTTCTGGCTCATTTTCCTAATTGGATTTTAAGGGTCTATTAGGGGTACACGAAATAAACGTATATATGTGGAGCGAATGTATAAAGAAGAGAAAACTACTATCTGTGAATTGATTTGAAAGCTTCAAAAGGACGTTTCGTAAAAGGAAAATTACGCAGCTTTTACTAAGCAGGAAAGTAACCACCGACTTCTAAAAAGAAAAGTTTTATTTTTTAAGTTTATGTAACTAGGAAAGTTTTATGAAAGCATAAAGTTTGCTTAGTTTGATTGTCCCAGGCAGGAACCTCATTTTGCAAGTATACTTAAAAAATAATAAAAACAATTGTCACCCCATTTTCTATTTTCATTTTATATTTGTTTTATTTTATGTAGGCGCACGTGATGCCTCCGGGTATGCTTTTGCAATCATCGATCACAGTCTGTTTGCTCTAGGTTTTATATGCATTTTCATTTATATATTTTAGCTTTATAAATTTTATTAAATCATGATTTAATATGATAGTATAAATATATTTTGTTTTAGGACAAGTATAATAGAGAAAAATAGACAAAATAAACCTCATATGTTTTCCTTGGAGAAAACTCTTCAACTAAATGAATTTTTTTTATGCAATGTTTGCTCGTGGACAACATGGCCAGTAAATATATTGAGTTCGTCCTTCAATTAAATAGGGAAAACATTATTTTTCCTCTTCTAATGTGTTTTATTTAATTTTGGTTTTTCATAGGTATAAATCGATTTATCTTTTCTGTTAAATGATAATGCAGGAGTGCCAATTTATTTTCTCTCGGTAAACCGCTTAAAAATAAAATCCGTTTAGAATAATTTTCCCTTCGGTATCGAAACACAAAGAAGTTGCTCTTGATTTGGAGGAATTTAATATTTTTCCCCTTACAAAAACAAAATTGGTTTTTAATCTGATTATTTGCAATTTTGTTTAGGTTTATTAAACAAGAATAAACAATTTGAATTATTGAGCACGAAAGGCTTTCACTCAGTTTGTAGAAAACTGCGGAAGAAATGTTATAGAACTTCTTCTTCTTATTTGGCCTGTAAGCATCCATCTTTGGATATAGGTAGGCAGTTCTCATTCGAGTGCTTGCAACAGTCCTCTTCATATTAGTTGCTGAGAAAATTCGTTCACCATTTTTTGTGTTACCAAGCACTCTGCTAGTTTCCAAAGTGAAAGTTTGAAGTCAGTGAGCCAATGTGATAAGTGAAAGATCATCATGAACCAACCACAGGCCTGTGATTGGCAGCAGCAGATCCTGCAACAAATCCAGGGTCTTCAACAAGAAGTACCAGGACTACGCCAAGAAATCGAAGCATTGAAACAAGACGTGGTTCGCCTGAAAAACACACAGCCCAGAAAGAAATAACCCAAGCAAAAGCGAGAAGCAGTACAAGGCCTTTGACCCCAACAGTCATTATACGAAACCCGTCTCAAAACCAGAACACAGCCAGCCCGACCATTACAACATCGGCCTCCAAAGCACCAGTCAGAAAGAGCTTCAACCTGAACCTCCACTGACCATGACAACACCGGCTCCTCTAGCTCCATTACTGCCCACTTCAGGGCACAGAAAATTCTGCCCAACACTAGCGAGGAGTCAGCTGCACCCTGCTTCAATCAAGGACTGCAGACAGATGCAAACCTTCCTTGAAAACAGAGAAGAACCATTCCATTCCTTTTCGTTCCCAGAAGAGAAAAAACTCAGGGTAGTTTCCTGTGGATCCTTAGAAGACTGTATGGCTGGATGATCAAAGAAGAGCTAGAAAACGAAACTTCCGCCCGGCGTCTGTCATAAGGTTGTACAACGTCAGAGGAGCCCCAGTAGTGTTTGTACTGGTGATTCTGCCAATCGCCGAGACAAACATCTTTAAGCTCAACTTCATCAACCATATCAGAGTGAAAGTCGAAACTCAACGTAGCCAAGAGCGATCCACACAGTGCCACAGATGCCAATTATACGTATATCCCCAGTCCAACTGCCAAGCCTCTTTTCCAAATGTGTCAAATACGACTTTGACTTTGTGCAAACTGCAGCCCCCGTCGAACTTTGTTTGGGGCCAACAACAAAAAATGAAGCCAATCAAAACAGAACAACAGCACCATCAACAAAACAATTCCTTGTAGATTATAGATTGTAGATTGTAGATTTCGGAGGAGTCGTTTCGGCTTCTCAGCCGTTCAGCACTGCTACCTTTGCAGATATTTTGTGCGTGACTCTACATCTTAATTTGTCTCCAGGAAGCGTAGACTTCTGCCGAAGCAAGCTATTTTCCTGGGTGTCAGTTGGCCCACTTCTTCTGGTGACAGTGTTGCCCCCTCGAGGAATTTGAGCCTCTTGCAGAATTGGGCTGGGCATTCGCAGAGCAGGTGCTCTGCGGTTTCTATTGCGTCTGAGCAGAATCTGCAGAGATCGTTTTCCGCTCTGCCCATTAACCTTAAATGGTATTTTACTGGGCAGTGTCCTGTGAGCAGTCCCACCACCAATCTGATGTCTGGTCTGCTCATGTTTAGGAGCTGTTCAGCTCTTTTTGCAATTCCTTGATCAGGGATTCTCACGACCCAGTCCCGCCGGGATCAAGACACCCTCACCCAGGGAACCAAATCTGAGGTAGCCAAAAATCACCTCCCACTCAAAGATCCGACATGCAGGATTACTACAAACTCTATCAGGACCTGATATTCCAGAATATGCACTTAGATAAAATCAATAGTTTTTCTTCGATGTTATTAGTCATTATACTTCTGTTTTCTCCAAATTCATATATTCAGGCCCATTTGTTCCGTTCATATTCGTCTAGTTTCTTAAATACATCCTCCGTTTTCAGCATGAAGAGCTTTTTTGATAAAGTCACATCTTCCCGCCTGACTCCTCTCCTGGGTCCTTATTCTTGAAACAGAGGAGCAGTGTTCACAGGAGAACGAGTGTTCCGTCTTTCTCAATGTAATGCAACTGGGTCCTTATTCTTGAAACAGGGAAGTAGTGTTCCCAGGAGAATGAGTGTTCCGTCATTCTCAATGATATGCAAATGATAATATAAGTAACAAAGACGGAACACTCGTTCTCCTGGGAACTCTGCTCCCCTGTTTCAAGAATAAGGACCCTGATAACAAAGACGGAACACTCATTCTCCTGGGAACGCTACTGTCCTGTTTCAAGAATAAGGACCCTGATTGGAATGAAATTGGTGTACTCTTCCAGGTTTTACTGTTAATGTGTTTTTTCTATAATAATGAGTAGGAGGAAATGATGTTTCTGATAAGGAATTTACAGCTTCACAAGACCCACTCCTAAATTTTCAGAGTTTCTTCAGCTTTTGCCTTGATACAACTGAAAATCAAGCACAAGATCATCTGATTTTGAGCATTTCTGGGTTGAGTTTGCCATCAGAAAATTGTTTTACATAGGAAACTCCTGTAAATGGCGCATTTATTCATCCACCGATATGATTTTTTTTCAAGGTTATGGATCCACTGGAAACGGAAGTTTGAAAACTTTTTAAAAGCTGCAAAAATGTCAGAAAACAACGACAAATTAAACCTTCTAGTAAACTATGTGAGTTCTCCAGTTTATCAGTTTATCAGTGAATGTTACATAGAAGCAGTTGCCATGAAAATTTATATGTAAAAACACCAAATGAAATTTTTGCTCATCATACTTTATCCACTAAAAAACAGCAACTAAGTGAATCTATAGACCAGTACTTACAAATTTTGATAAAATTAAGTAAATACTGTAATTTTAAAGCAGTCACTGCTGAACAGAATAGAAATGACTACATAAGAGATTCATTTATTCATGGTCTCACCACATCTCACAAAGACTTGTAGAAAATATGACTCTGAACCTAGAAGAAGCATATAATTCAGCTAGCTCTTTAGAAATGGCTCAACAATAGTCAGAATATTATAACTCAAATTCATAAGTAAATTCGATTGTATCAAATCAATCATCTACTTATGTTCAACAATCAAATTAACGAAAGGATACAACACTTGCCGTAATTACTTCAAAATGTTATTTTTGTGGGAGAAACAGACATTCTAGAGATAAATGTCTAGCAAGAGATGCAATCTGTCATTCCTGTGAAAAGATTGGTCATTTCACACAAGTATGTAGATCAAAACATCAAAAACAATCTCATAATTCAAATAAAACCCCAGCTGCTATTATTAGAATGATGTTAGCTGCCTCAACATCTTGCTTATCGAAAGCTATTATTTAAATTGAAGTCAATCATATTCCAGTTGATGCACTTTATTGATACTGGAAGCTTGGACAACGATATCTCAAGAACTATCACCATACAAAGATATATCAAAGTGTTTCCTACGAATCTAAATGTCACAATGGTTGCTTCATCTTTAAATTCTCCTGTTTGTGGATACTGATTGTGATTATAAAAATATCAGATCATGTGTACACGAATATCAAGATGTATTTCTTAAAAAATCATTGTTCTTATGTTATAATTGGACATGATATTCTTCAAAATTATTCAGGAGTAGAATTAGAATTCAGTTTTGGTGGAAATCAATCAAAACTTTCTATCTGTAATCTAGTAACTGCAAATATTCGACCTTATCCGCTGTTTGCAAATTTGACAGAAAATTGCCAGCCTATTGCTATTAAATCCAGACGGTTTTCTAATGATGACT